TGCGGACAGACTGCCCACAGTCGAGCAGGATGAGATCCGCCGACAGGTTAGCGACGTCGAAGTTGTCCACGACCAGCTCGACGACGGACGCCTCGGTCGATATGGGGCGCAGTGGAACGCGTGCCGCGCGGAGAGCCGAGCCTGCTACCTCGCCCCCGGACGCGGCAGCGGCCAGACAACCGTTCAGACGTTATCCGGCGGCCGTCAACCGCAGTGTTCCCCAGCAGCGGGTAAGGTTGCGGGACCTAGAGCGCGTCAGGCGGCCAGCGGTGTGGTGCGTTGGAGACCTGGTGCTTTGGAGCGCAGGACGTGGTGCGCGGAGCCTGCCGCCGTCGTCCTCGCTGTCCGGGTGATGAACAACACGGTGTAGCCCCGGGATCCCGGCTAACTTTTTGCGTCGGGCCACTATGCGCTTTCGCACGCCGTCTGATTGCTATTCGGAAGCGTCCGTGTAGGTGTGAGCTGCTGCCTCGAGCGCTGGACAACCCAGCCGGCCGAGGGGTAACTCACTGGCCCCGATGCGTGTACACCGACTTAAAGTCAAAGTTGACTTTGTGACTTTTTCTGACTTTCTCTGACTTTTATTGACTTTTTTGATTTTTTTGTTGACTTTTTGACTTTTTTTGACTTTTTTGACTTTTTTTGACTTTTTTCTGACTTTTTGACTGATTTCACTGAATTTTAGTAGGATTTTCTGCTCATTTACACAGATTTGGACATTTTTCGACATTACACAAATTGGGAACACTATACTGAACTTGAAACCTCTATCCATAAGTACCAGCCATCATCTGTTATAAGAGCTTTGGAGGCAAGTGATTTCTATGTTGAATATGCTGAAGAACGTTTAGGAAACATTGGATGTAACATGTTAGTCAAACCGTTCAAAATTTCATTTTTTTGCGGCACTTATTGCATTGTGTTTTAAAACTGCACCTTGCGTGGCAAATTTAGTCATCGTAGAAAGTTTGATAAAAAAAATTGAATTGAGAAAGAACCAAGGAACAACTTTTGTGAAAATTAAGTGATTTAGGATTTCAAATTTTGGGTCAAATCTTAATATTTTACAAGTTAAAAATATTTGCCATAATGGAGCTTCCATAGGAGGGATAAATATGCAAATCTGGTTCGTAAATCTTGTAGAACACCCTCTTATATCTATCTCTCCAAAAAACCATCTCCGTAACTTAAAACTTGTTGCGCAAGGAATTTTTAGAGCGTTGTAAGAAT